TTTCTTAAAGACTTTACTTGAAGCAAAGAGTCATTATATTGTTAAATAATAATCACAGATAAAATACTTTCTAGTTATTTTAGGAAATAATTCCCAAATATTTTTAATTATGACCACCCACATTCCAATGAATGGAATAACTTCCTGGAGAAACGTTTTTTTAAAAAAAACATATTTTTTATAATACCCCTCTGAGTAAGACTCTCCAACTCTCCCTCTGGTAAGGTAAAAGATTTTAATAATTTTTTAGGCAAGGAAAACTTGTTAAGCCATCTGTCATTTTGCAGTTGAAATGTAGCTGACATGTGACTGTTTATGTAAGTTTTTTGCCTTTTCTTTCACCCTTTCTGTCTCTGACCAGTGGATGTAGTTGGAGGAAGTTATCTCCAGGCAATGTTCTATTCCACCCCAACTAAACAGGAGAAAAAAGGAAGGATTTACTAAATAAATTTCCTTAAGAGCAATATAAAATTAAATAACTATACAGTAGACAGCTAACTTAGAAATGATAAAATGGTTGTAAAATAATTGAAATGGTCCATGTGATATATTTATTAAATACCACACAAATATTTGAATTCCAGTTTTGGGTGGTATCAAATATAATGAAATACAACAGTTAGATGGCTATGAAAATATGGTATTAATATGACTAGTGCCCCCAGATTATTATATCAATCATAATTTTGCACATAAAAATTTATCAATGGACTGGCTGGCTCTGTGGTGTGGAAGTTTTAGCCTCCTCCTGCACTGCCAGCATCCCGTATGGGCACTGGTTCAAATCCCGCTGCTCCACTTTGAATCCAACTCCCTGCTAACATGACCATGAAAGAAGCAGGTGGCCCAAGGACTTGGGTCCCTGCACCCATGTAGGAAACACAGAAGCTCCTAGCTCCTGGCTTCTGCCTGGCCCAGCACCAGCCTTTGTGGCCATTTGGGAATGAATTGATGGATAGAATGTGAAAGTCTCTCTCTCTCTCTTTCTCTACCTATCTATCTCTATCTATATCTCCCTCTCTCCCCTTCTTTCTCTATATATTTGCCTCTCAAATAAATAAATCTTTTACAATAATTTGTCATGGGGAATTTTTAAGCAAATCCTTCAAATGAAATGTGGGTCCTCCAAAGGAATTGTGAGACTTTAGACTGTCTCTGCTCCTGATCCATATGACCACCTGCCTGGGCCCTGGCCCTGTCAGCATCATGTGTCGGAACTAATCCAGTGCAGCAAGTATACCTTGGAAGCTTCAAAACTGGAAGCTAAATAAACCTCTTTTGTCATCAGGAGTAGCCCATGTTAGGCATTTTACTTATTGTAAAGATTTATTTACTTATTTGAAAGGCGGAGTGACAGAGACAGAAAGACAGATATATCTTCCATCCACTGGTTCACTTTCCAAATGATCAAAACAAGCCCTGGTTGGAATATCCTGAAGTCAGGAGACAGGAACTTCGTTTCCATCTCCCACATGGGTAACAGGGACTCAAGTACTTGAGCCATCATCTGCTGCTTCCTTGTCACATTACCAGGAAGTTGGATCAGAAGCAGAGAAGCCCACACCTGAACTGTCATTCAGATATGAGATGTGTCTTATGCTGCAGTTTAACTCACTGAGCCACAACACCCTCCCCTGTGTCAAATATCTTGCTATAATGATGCAAAGCTGAATACTGCAGATATTAATTGAGGACTTTAGGTTTACTAAATTTTTTAACTGATCAGAAACTTCATAGCAACTTTAGGAAAAAAATTATATTAGAAGAGTATGGTGGTTTATAAAGAAAGCAGAAGAAATGAAGACAGACTTTATTTTTTGTTGCCACTCCAATACAGAAAATGTAGTTGGATAGTGAGAGAGAGAGACAGAGAGAAAGGTCTTCCTTTGCCGTTGGTTCACCCTCCAATGGCTGCCGCGGCCCGCGCGCTGCAGCCGGCGCAGCGCGCTGATCCGATGGCAGGAGCCAGGTACTTATCCTGGTCTCCCATGGGGTGCAGGGCCCAAGCACTTGGGCCATCCTCCACGGCACTCCCTGGCCACCACAGAGAGCTGGCCTGGAAGAGGGGCAACCGGGACAGAATCCGGCACCCCAACAGGGACTAGAACTCAGCGTGCCTGCGCTGCAAGGTGGAGGATTAGCCTAGTGAGCCATGGCGCCAGCCAGTAATATGTTTTTGTATGAGGGAAAGCTAGCAAGTTTTATGAAATAACCTTGGAATTTCAGCTATGATCCAAGTCAGAAGAGGAAGGCATTTATTATTCATACCTTAAATGCCAAGAACCTTCCAAAAGAGTGGGCATTGTGATACAGCCAGTTAAACTGCTGGTTGGGACATACATCACATACCAAGAGTGCCAGTTTGAGTCTTACCTATTCCATTTCTAATCCAACTCTCTGCTATTGCACCTGGGAAGACCAGAATGGAGAGACTGACTGAGCTCTAGTACTTATTGATATTTTGGGAATGAACCAGCAGATGGAAGATCTCTGTCATTCTGCCTTTCAAATAAATTAATTAAAAAAAGAAACTACTACAAAGAACTCTCAAAAATTAAGATCAAAATACATTCCCTGCTACTGCTCTACCCAAGGTTTAAAATATTTATATCTATGTTCAAAGCAAAAATGAATACTTATACCTGGAGGTGGAATTCTGATATTTTGCAATAGTACATTTCTTTCAGTTGAAATGATAATACTAATGTTAGCTATTTGAATGCAATGTTACATTGCTGTAAATGGATACAATTATGGAAGATTTATGATACTTCAAATGTCAAAAGATAGCTTACTTTGATCTGGATTGTGATTTTTTATAGTTAAAATTTTAAGTGGATGTTTTATTGTACTTGGCAAATTTATGTTTGAAGCAGTATTTTGTGAAAATTGTTTCTAGTTGTGCATTATTCTATCTGATACAACTCACTTCAAATTATTTGCAATCAATTGTATTGAATTGCTAAACCATCAAGATATGCTTTGTTTGTAGCTAGATATTGTCTTTTTGAAAAATATTTTGTAAGTATTACTTACTGTTTTTCCAAGAACAGGCAGTGCCATTTATATGATGTATATGAAATAATATAAGCCAAAGTTTCAAGCCTTAAGTTATCTTAGACATTTTACTACCCTCAAGACATTTTATTTTTGATTCACTGTTTTCATTAAGTTCTCTTTCCAACAATAGTGTTTAACTTTAATGCCATTTATTCTTTACTTGTATCTGCTCTGAAGGGATTCATTTCCACTTGGTTCCTGCCTTATTGTCATCTGACAGTTTTGTTTTGTTTTAACTTCACAGAAGTTGACTTTTAATTTTTTTCTTCAGTTCTATACAGACAATACATTTACACAAATTTAACAGAAAATTTTAGAAAAAATACATTGAAAACATCCTGTGTGACACACAGAAATGTCAATGTAACTCTTTTATGCTACATGATTTTATTAAAATAAACCTCAATACAAAAATAAAATGTTCTATTTATTTATAAGCAAGAGTAGTGAACAAGACCGATAGAAAGTTTTAAGATCTCTACTAAGAGGAGCACATTGTGGCACATTGGGATAAGCCCCTGCTGTAGATGTTGGTATCACATATCAGAGTGCCCATTGGAGTCCTGCTACTCTGATTCCCATCCACCTTCCTGCTAATGCATGGTGGGAAGCCGCTGATAATGAATCAAGTTTTTAGGTTCCTGCCACCAAAAGGAAGACCCAAATGAAATTCTTAGCACCAACCCTTAGCCTGCCCCAGACCTTTCTTTCGCGCCTTTTGGGGTGTGAACCCGTGGATGGAAGATCTCTGTCTCTCCCACTCTTTCTCTCTCTCCTTGTGTCTCTTTCTCTCCCTTCCCCATTCTCTGTCATTCAATGTAAATTTTGAAGAGAAACCTATTAAATAATAAATTAAATTATTTTTGTTGAGGGTATTTTGATTCTGCATGTAATATATAAAGAAGTATATTTCCTGTCTATTAGAAGAAATGCATCATGTTGAAATGCATCATTAGGAGAAATAAATTTCAGTTTATACTTAGGAAAAAGTAGGCTGTTTTTGTAACTAACAGCACTCTCACTTTCATGCATACTAATATTATGTAAAGCTCAATATAGTTTATCCTATTTGATATTAATTTGGAGATATAGAAGACAAAAGAAAGGGTTACCAATTTTGTCAGACTCCATCACATTTTCATTTTTACAATTTCACAGTTGGATGGGTAGATGCTGGGAGTTGCTGACCCAATGAGATACACTGCATTATTTCTTGCTAGGAGCAACTAAATTCTTTTTCTAAGGGGTCAATGTGCTCACTTTGAATTATTCACAGACCCTTTGCTAGATGCTGGCCAATGGACTTAAGACGAATCATGTTGTAGAGAACTAGAGAGACTTTTGCTTTTCTGATAAAAAAAAAAAAATTGAAGCTCTCTCTACTGTTTTCCTTTCTTAAAGCAGACATTTACTGTGGTTACAGAGGTCAAAGAATGGCAAAAAGAACATGAAAAGCAAAAGTCAGTATATTATGGGTGCCAGAATATTGAGAGAGAATGCAGTAGAACTTTTTGTGACTTCATTAAAATTTCAATTAAAATATACTACATTCTTAGTCATGATTGCCACAAACTTAGGATAAATTATAAATTGGATAAGTAGGAGGAAAAAGTAAGACTTGTTAGAATCAAACTGCATCATCCCAAAAGACTTATGTCCTAACTCCCAGCACTTCAGATTGTGATTTTATTTAGAGATAGGCTCTTTACAGAGGTAATCAAATTAATGTGAGGTCAACAGAGTGGACTGTAATACAATAAAACTGGTGACATTTTTAAAGGCGGAAAAATCTGAACACAGAGTCAAGTTAGCACACAAAGAAGGGCTTGTGGAGATTGGGGGTATGGTACCAGATGCCAAGGAAGTGCTGGAGTCCAAGGAAGAGCCTGCAACAGCTCTTTCCCCAGTATTTTCAGAGGCCACCGTGCCTTCATTTCACATTCTTGACTTTCAGAACAGTTAGACAATAAATTTCTTTTATTCTAAACCATCCAGTTTGAATTACTTGGATTCACCAGCAAAGTAATATAATGCTTATGTATTAAAAGTGGAATACATTTTATTTAATCTCTAAATGGGTATGGTGAGTTTTTAAGACAAATCTTACTAGTAAAAATCATTTAGCTGGTAACATTATCCATATACAATAAAGGTAATAAAAGATAAGTCTTTCTAAAATAAGTCCCATGTTAAATCTCGGATTTCAAGAAAGTCTGTAATAGGAAATCAGCATTTGTTCATTAGTTTCCCATGGTCTTTGATAGCAATGAAATATCTTTAAATTTCAGTCCTTTCACAGTACCATCATCAGATCAGTTTACTTTGATGTCTTTATAATGCATTCATCTAATCTATTCTCAATCCATGCTTTTTATTCATTCAGCATAACAATATCACATGATTTATCTTTTGAAATAAGGTGATTCTTTTCTCAAACTGGATATGATTCACAAATTGCTTTCTTCAGCAGAGGGAAAAGTGAGCTCATTTCCTGCCAAACAAAGTAACTGCATCAAAAGAGAAGAGACATATTAAGATGGTGCAAGTTTTACCTTTTTACAGAAAAGAATATGGCATTACAGTCTCTTTTGTTATGAAGGTTGAAAAGGCAGAGGTCTAATGTTCATCTATTCCAGGATGACAGGTTAACAGTTAAACATTGAAATAATGGAGACATTCTACTTTGTACAACCTTGGCTAGAATAAATTCTAGGAGAATTTAAGAGTAAATCATATTGTTCTACATAAATCAAAATTCTGGGGACACATTATTTCATTAAGTGAGTTTTCTTGACAGTGAAAAATTCTATTACATCATATTAATACATGAGGCATATTAAACTTTTAGACATGCTTTGCAAATGCATTGTTAAGTGACAACAAAGGAAAGGTAGACAATTATATATTTTCCTAAATTGGGACATCTAAGTTTATAGTTGTTTTCATAAACTATTGACTATATACTATTTCTGTTTGGAAGAAAAATGAAAAGGATGTGTCTTTAAACAGGTTTCCACTTCTCTTATAAGCTTGTTGGGTCTTGTATAGTTGTTTATCAGGATGATTCCACAGAATAAAGCATAGATAGTGCTACAACATGTTCTAGTCATGGAATAAGCAATCTTTTTTTTCCTGCTAAGGCCCAGATAGTAACCATTTTAGACAGCACAGATACAAGAACTCAACCTGACTTAAACAATATATAAATGAATAAGTGTGGCTCTGTTCCACTAAAACTTAATTTATGCACAGGGAAATTGGAATGTCATATAATTTTCATGTCACTAAATATTACTTCTCTAATTTCAACCATTAAAATATTTTAGAGTGGCTAACATTATGGCATAGCAGAAAAAAAGACTGCCTGCAACGCTGACATCCCATGCAGTCATTGGTGTGTGTCCCAGCTGCTCCACTTCTGATCCAGCTCCCTGCTAATGTCCTGGGAAAAACAGCAGCAGATGGCCCAAGCATTTGTACCCCTGCTACCCATGCTGGAGACCTGGATGGAGATCCTGTCTCCTGGCTCCAGATTTCCCCAGTGCTGGCGCTTGCAGTCATCTTGGTAGTGAACAAGTCAGTGGATGGAGGATCTCACTCTCTGTCTCTCTCTCATAGTAATTCTTTCAAAGTAAATAAATAAATCTTTGAAAAAGTATATTTTTAGAAAACCAGTCTTAGCTCATAAGCCCCTCATGAGAGACAGCAGACCAGATTTAGCCTGTGGGCTGAGTTTGCTGACAACTGTGGTAGAATATTGCATCCCAGGCACTCACACAGCTCATTTCTTTGTGCCTTCTTCAAAGCACTAGAGCATTTTTTCATTCAAGCTTATGTTATCTGGGCCAAAATTCATGTATTTTTAGAAAGGATAAAAAAGAAAAATAGGAAATATTGCATGAATTATAAATTTATATTAAAATCTATTTTACAATGTCATGATATTAAAATTATACAGTACACTCTAATGAATTTTATTTTTCTCTACCCTATTTTTGCCCTGTAGATGCTTGAATGAAATCTATTCTTTTATCTTCTTGATATACATGCATTCTTGAAATTTTGTTAAAATTGAAATAATCCATTCTACCATGGAAAACAAAAAACAGGAAAAGCTCATTTATCCATTTAATCATATTTAAAAGTATGTCAAAGTGGTATTATATGCAAGAAAATTAGTGGAAATAAAATGTTGAACTAGGAGTCCTATGTATTGTTCTGAGCAACTTGACACTTTAGCTTGACTTTATGCTTTCATAATAATCTACATTGAAGACCTGTAGTTGTGTTATCATTTGTTTGTAGCGTTTTAGTTTTCTATTTTTTTTTGACAGAGTTATAGACAGTGAGAAGAGATAGAGAGAAAGGTCTTCCTTCCATTGGTTCACCCCCAAAATGGCCGCTACAGCCATCTGAATGTATCATGAATCTTCCTATTTACTTCAAAAAACAAACAATGTGCATTATTAGAATTCATGATATAAACAATCATATTCTCTCTCTCTGTCTTAAGCTCTACATATATATGCTATTAGCTTACTCCACCTCAACAATAGTACAATATGATACAGTGTTAATAGCCATATAATGGCAGTAACAGAAAATTGCATTTTAATTAGGAGGATGTGCTCAGCAACCACTGACTCTGGACCATGTAAGATGGGATTTGAAAGGTATTCCTCAGCATCAGCTGTGGTGCTGTTTGCTGGGGCTTGTTTCTAGCTTCTTAAAAAAATTATTACACTTCCTTTGCAAAGTGGAGAGACAGGTATCTCCTGTTCACTGGCACACTCCAAATAGCTACAATTGCTAGGACTGGGCAAGAATGAAACCAGGAGCCTGAAACTCAGCTCAGGTCTCACTGATGGGTGTCAGGAACTCAACTGCTTGATCCATCGCCACTGCTTCTCAGAGAGCACATTAGCAAGAAGACGAAATCCAGAGCACAGACAAGACTCAAACTCCGGCATTCAACTATGGAATGCAGATGTTCCAAGTAGTATCTCAACTACTGTGATAAATGCCAGCCTCTGTATATCATTTTGTTAAGAGCTGAAGTCAGATTGTAGCAGAATGAACAGAGAACAGAGCAGGAGGAATTATGCTATGTAGGTGATACTCTGAAGGGGTTTGAATATGGAAGGTGAAAGAGTGTATAAAGATGGACTTGGATAAATAGGGTGGATGTCTTTCTTTTCTCTCAGTTTACATACAATTTTGCACATATTTGACATTAAATAAAAATCTGACATTATAGCACATTTCTTTTTATTGTGAATGATAGTCTATTGTATGTTAATTTATTAACCTGGAACTCAACAGTATGGGCCATTCGTGAAAAAAATGCAAATATTCCTGTAAAATTGTGCGGGTGTGTGCGTACTAAGTTTTCAAACTAATTGGATAAATATGCAGAAATATGATAGTTAGATTGCATGGTCATACTCTGATTGACTTTGTAAAAATCTGCCTCACCCATTCTTCTCAAATCCCCCACACCTTTTCTGTCCCAATCCCACCCCTCTCCTATGCATTGCTGAAACTACTCCCAGTTTGATGCAAGAGAAACTGCAACTTCCATGATTTAGCAACATAGAGCCAGCACCAGCTGTAAAAAATTCAACATGGCTGCAGCTATGTCCTTATTATGACTCTTAGGTCATTATAATATTACAATAAAATTACCACATCCAACACAGCCACTTACATTATGCAAATGATGCCAAGAAATTTCCTAGATTTCAAAAAAACGGGTATATCAATAGGTGGTACTCAAGCCTCACCCTGAAACTCAACCTACTTTGAAAACTCATTTAAGCAACACCACAGACACCACTCTGCATCCAGGTAGGATTGATGGCACCAAATCTTGACTGCAGCTTATTCTCTCTGGAGTTTGCCCACATTGTTACTTCAACGTGTAGCTTTGCTTCAAATGAATTTTGTTTCTCTGCATTTATTATGTCTCTTATTCTTTTCAATTTTTATTCTTTCTCACATGGAGACAAGATCCTGGACCAAACCAACTAGTGTCCACTTCATAAAATACCAGTAATAAGTACAATTTCTCATTGCTGTGCATTTTCACTTAGCATTTTGTTTGTCAGGTTTTTGTTTGTTTGCTCATTTGTTTAGATATTTTAATAGATACATGGTGGAATCTTGCTTAGTTATTTATTTAAAATTCAGAGAGAGATTATGGGGGTGATGGAATAGAGGGAGAGAGAGAGAGATAGAATGAGAGTTCTTCCAACTGCTGGTTCACTCCCCAAATAGCTCCAACAGCCTGGGCTGGGTCAGGCTAAGGCCAAGAGCCTGAAACTTCACCCATATCTTCCATGTGGATAGCAGGGGCCTAAATACTTGGGCCATCCTCTGCTGATTTCCCAAGCACATTAGCAGGGAGCTAGATAAGAAATGGGCATCTAGAACTTGAACCAGCCCTCACACGGGATGTTGGCCTTGAAGGGAATGGCTTAGCTGGCTGTGCTGGACCCTTGTTGTTTTAGTAACAAAGCATGAAAATATTTTTGTATTATGTAGCATAAGTACATATGTTGTTTTGTTGAGAAGTACTTGCTCAAATCTTTTGCTTATTTAAATGGGGTATATGTTTTCAGAATGCTGATGATAGGTTTCTTTCATACTATTTGTTGAACTCTTTGCTTAGTATAGAGTTAATCTTATGTGTATAAAGTTAACTGAAAATAGATCTTAGTAAAAAATAAATGGGAATAGGAGAGGGAAGAAGAAGGGTGGGAGTATGGGTAGGGTAGGAAGAATCATTATGTTCCTAAAGTTATATTTATTAAGTGTCTGAAGTTTGTCATACCTTAAATAAAAGATTTCTGGGTAAAAAATGTTGAATGTTACATATTCTTTGAATATTTATCATACAAACATCTTGCAAATATTTCATCCTAATCTGTGGCTCTTTTCTTATAAACAATAAATGTAGCATCATCAAAATTTTCAATTTTAATTAATAATAGCTTATAAATATTTTTATTTCATGGACTTCCCTTTGGATGTTATGTCTAATATATCAACACCAAACCCAGACTCATCAAGGAGTTCTCTGTGTTTTCTTTGACATGTGCTACAGTTTTGTATTTTCCTGAAAATATTTGACACACACACATAGTTCTTTTTTTCATAATATAGATTTCCATGAACTTTTTAAAATAGTTCTTGCACCTATGATTTCAAGTTTTTGCTAGCAAATATGTTAATTTTAAATTATATTTTCAACAAACTATTTGCAGTACCCTTATATATATCACCATTTATATGTAGTTCATTCTACTATTTTGCCAAAAATATAAGAGAGTTCTAGCTGCTCCACTTTCCGCTCAACGTTTTATGTCTATCAGCTTACTCTGAAACTATTCTGGACATCTATTATTATTTTGTTGTGGTTAATGTGCATTTTGTTATTGAAAATGAAATCTTTGGCAACTTTCATTGAGTTGTCCTTGTGATTTTTCTTGTTGATTTTCAAGAGCTCATTGTGTTTTCTGGATGTAATTACTTTGTCACATGTGTGCAATGAAAATAGGTTTTTCAAGATGTAACCTTAATGAAGTCTAATTTCTCACTTTTTCCTTTTATTGCTAGTTTTTTGTGTTTTAAGATCATAAAAATACTACATGGTTTCTAGAAATCTGATTGGTTGACCCTCTATTTATAGGACTATAATATCTTGAATTAGTTTGATATAAGAGGAGGTCAAATTTTTAATTTTGATTGTGATTATAGCTATATAATTGACCAATCATCATATATTGAAAGTACTATTTTATTGAAGTGCAGTGGATCTTTGTTCCAAATGAGATGAATGTATATGTTCAAATCTTTCTCTGAACTTTATTCCATTCTACTGGTCTATTTGTTTTTCAGCAAAACACAGAAGCTTTATAATAAAGTCTGATATACAGCAGCAGAGATCTTTGGCTTAGCTTGGGTTTGCTTTTCTTCTCTAATATTGCCCTAACCGTTCTAGGTCTTCTATAGTCCTGTATGAATTTAGTATTCATGTTCTGAGTCTTCTGTCGCAAAGGGTTAAGCTGCCTCTTGGAATCCCCACATCTCATAACCGAGTGCCTGAGACTGAATCCCAATTCCACTTCAGATTCAGCTTCCTACTAATCTATACCACAGGAGGCACCAGATGATGGTTCAAGTACTTAGGTACTTGCTTCTAACATGGGAGATCTGATGGAGTTCTTTGTCCCTGGCTTTGGCCTTTCCCACTCTTGGCCTTTTCAGACATTTGGGGAACAAACTGGAAGATGGAAGATTCTCTCTCTCTCTCTCTTTCTCATTTCTAGCTTTCAAATAAATAAAATACATTTTAGATCTTAGAACAGAATAATTTAATTTTCAGTTTGCATAAACATATACACACTTTCTGAATACTCTTGCTTTTACATGATTTCAATGAGAAACATCAGGGAAAATGTAAACTGCAGGGTGGCACTGTCAGTGTGTGAAGCCACTGCTTGTGACACAGGCATCACATATTGGAATGTCAGTTCAAGTCCCAGATTCTCCACTTCTCAGGCAGCTTCCTGTTAATTTGTATGGAAATGCAGCAAATCATGGCCCAAGGATTTATCCTGTCATAATTGCAGAAGACTCAAATTGGTTTGATTGACTATTGGCTTCTATCTGGCCCAGACTTGGCTGCTTTGGCTACTTGGGAATGAACCAGAAGGTGGAAGATCTTGGTCTCTCCATTTCTCCATCTCTCTATCACTTATGCCTTTCTTTTAAAAAAGAAAGAAAAATACAAATGGCTTTTTCATAAAATATCATAAAACACTCTCAACTTCTGATACCACATTATTTCAATTTGTTAGTTAGCTGGCTCTTCTCAGGCTTTTAGACATTTGTATGCCCATTTGTATACATTTAAAAATTGAATGTGAGGCAAGGATCTTTCATTCCTTCATTTTCCTTAAGTGTAGCATTTTGTTCACATGCTAATATTGAAGGATTTGCATATCTCTCCATATTAAATATTAGAATGGCAACCATATTCCTGATAAGGAATTTTACAGCATCTTGCAGAATCCTGCAGAGATAGATCTCATCAGTCTATTTGCATTTCTAAAATCTGTTGGAAATTTCCTATGTTCCTGTAACAATTTATACAAAAGCAAATCCCACTTCTCTGATTTCAGAATGCTTCAGCACTGCTTGGAATTAGACAATAAGGACTTGCAAATGTCCCAAATGAAGACACTAAAATTAACTGTTTCACAATTTTAGCACAAAAATATCATCACATAGATTTGTTTTCCAGATGATAGCTTAAATTCAGAATAGAAACTCTGTTTTTGTTTGTTTGTTTGTTTCTGTTTTGATTCCATGACAAAGGCTGCTTATTCATTCTAAATTTACTTATGGAATAGCACTCAAGATACCATTCCCTCCATAAGATAATTTGTTAAAGATTACCATAATCTCCACCAAAAATAAGGAGCACTTCTTGATGTGTAAGTGCTAATAATAGTAGAAGTTTAAAATAAGCAAGGAAACAAATCCTTACCTTGAATACATCTCTGTTGTTAAGTGTGATGAAAGGACAATAGATACAGCTCTGTTCTGGGGAAATATCACAGGATTAGTCTTAAGAGGGTGGTAACAGGTCCATGAGAACATCTTCAAGAGGTAAATAGTAAAATGAAGTTTTGAATGTGATGAAATGAAAATGTACATTAGGTAATCATCCCTTAAAAAAGTAATTTTTAACCTCCTTCTAACTTTTTAAAAATCTTAATCTATTTCCTTTCTTAAAATTCCTAATTGTGAGCTACTTGATTAAAATAAAAAGAAACTCTTCTAAGACACTTCTATGTACTTTAATCTTAAAATCAATTTAACATAGACTAAACATTAACACCACAAAATGAGTTAAATTTTTTCAAAATTATTTGGATAATTTTCTTGTTATGAATCCTAATAACATTCTATTTTTATAAATTTCTTTTTCATAAAGCAATGTTCTCTTTATAAAGGCTTATATGGGTACTGGCATGTTAATTTAAGCCAAAAGGGAATTTAATCAATTTGTGCTTAGCTTAGCTTAGGTAATTATTTCATTTACTTTATAATTATTATTTCTGAATATAGAATATTCATCATCCAAGAAAAAGTTAAAGCCCATGAAATTTAATTATCATTGAGCTTCAGACATGATGCAGCTAGAGGATTGAAGGTGTTTTCTATTGGATATGTGTGCCTATTTAACTTTGAATTTCATAGAAAATATTATCTTAGTGCACATGGTTAATTCTCTTTGTCTTATTTTCCTAATGATAGCAAGTTACTTTTCTCAAAGAGAGCTTCTAGAAAACACCAACATTTCAAAATATTAATAATTAACAAAATCATACAGAACACATAAAATTTATTATAGCAATGGCTATGAAAACTCTTATACAAATGGATTGTACTCAATTATGTACCAACAACTTGTCTCTCATTTTACAGAGAGAGTTGTAAAGCAAGAAACTCAGAAGCAATACCAAACCATCTGACCCCTCGTCTGCTACGTATGAAAGTTCTCAAATGTATATCATCTTCCAGGACAGTGCTGATTTGATTCTTCTTATCAGAATACACTGTATTTAGTTGCGATTGTACTCTTCAAGATCCCTGATGGCTTGAGCATTCTTCTTGTCTCTATCTTGCTACCTCAGACAAATGTGTGTTACCTTTCTGACTTTTAGAAGCAAAGACAAATGTCCCACAGTCCTACATGGGAAATTTTCTTTTTTTTCTTTTAACAGGAAAAAAAAGGCTTTAACTTTATTTAAGAGTTTACTTTTAAGAGAGATTATATCAGACACAATACACTGTACTTGGCAGGAAACTCATTAATTTCTGTTCAGTTGATCGTCATTGTTGAGTCTGTACTTGTAACTTATCTATTGAGTCTCTGTGATCACTTCCTTTGATGAATCAAAATGAACCTACAAAATGCAGTTTTGTTCTGTAAAGCATACTGAGAAACATTTGTTTTACATAGTCTTTTAAAAATGAATTCACAAAAAAGGAAAAAAAAGAAAAATGAATTCACTGTACAAATTGTACCATATTCCCTTTGAATGTCTATACTTTTTTTCTCATCAATTCCAATGTTAATGTGAAACTAATACAGAGAACAGATTCAATGTTTTTGTCAGATATAAATCTAAGAATATAATATTTCCTCCCTTCCGCCCTCCTTCCTACCTTCAACTTTTCCTTCTTTCTTTCTCTTTTTCTTCCTTTCTTTACTTCTTTAATTTTCTTTCTTTCTTTTTTTTTCTTTCTCTCTTTCATCGTTTGAGATAGTATTTTTTAATTTACATTATTGTCAAAGCCTTAATGCTCCACTAAATAAAGAATTAGAGAAGTACAAAATAAAAAGACATTAGTATATGGGAAATTTTTATCTTCCATTATTTCATTAATTATATAGCTTCTTTACATTGAATCACAGAATTTTTTTAAAAGAAGCACTAGAAAAAAAAGGGAAAAATAAAATAGTTGCCAGTTTTAAAATTAAACGTTTGGTGATGTTCTTTAAAATTCTAACTAAAAAGCAGTTTTCTTATTATCTATTACTTTTATATCCTTTCTTTCCTCTTAAATTTTTATATTGAATTGAAACTACATGAATATTTGCTCACTTTATACCCATCTCTCATGTTTTCTTATCCATTTTTACTTCTTCTAATGAAATTGCCTCGTCTTTGAATAAGTTAAAAATAAATTTTCACCGCTTGGGACACTCACCTCCCATATTGGAGTCCCTGAGCTCGAGTCCAGGCTACACTCTTCATTTCAGCTTCCCACTAATGCACTTCCTTGCAGGTAGCAGATGATGGCTCAGTAGTTGCATCCCTGCCATCCACATTAGAGATTTGTATTGAGTTCCGGGTTTCAAGCTTTGGCCTGGCACTTGTGGGCATCTGGGGAGTGAACCAGCAGGTAGATTTTCTCTTTCTCTTTCTCTATCTCCCTCTACTTTTCAATTTTGTCTTTTAAGTTTTCTCTCTTTTTTTTTTTCTCCTCCTGGATTTTAATGGTCCATTGAAGATAATACCAGCATAGCATATTGATAGGTAAAATTATTAGCAAGCTTTGCTTTCCATATAATGTGAATTATAATGAAAAATTTTACTTAAAATCAACAAAGAATAAAAGTATCAAGTAACATTGTATAATTTATGAGATGAGCATATTTACTAGTGTGGTGGGTATAACATAGGGTAAAGATACACCTCCTTATCTTGCCTGCTGCTTAATAATATCTGAAGATCCATGAAACATTATACACACACTGAATAGAATGTAGCTCTTTCCAGCTCACTTTCATTAGTAACATCATTAACTATTAAATGTATGACCCCTATAATGCAATCATTTCAAACCTGCGTATCCATACTATTCCAATCTTTGTTTGGCAGACAGGGGAAATAGGATTACATCCATGACTGTTACTTTCTCAATCACAGATGTTCAAGGGACAGATGCGCATCTGATTGAATCTGGGAAATTAATTCTCACAAGGAATGTAAAACTGATGAATAAAGAAAACATATTTTAATGCTGTAGGTTTTAAATTGAAAATATCCTGTAGAGTAAGGTTCTTAGCCTAACATTTTGGGACCTACACAGGAAGTTATCCATAGTCAGATAAGTTAAAAGATCTGCATTGAGAAATAAAGTAAACAAACTTGCAGGAAGAAGAATGGTGAAAGAAGACAAATTTGCTTGCCACTGTTCCTATTTCTTACTCCAAAGCTTTTATGAGATCTGGTTATATTTCTTCCTTTTATGTGATAAGGACCTATCCTAATTACTCTAAATTCTTTCAGGAAGAGAGATGTCTTGTAAATCATTGCTGACCTGTATAATCGCAATGCTTAATTAGTTTAAGATTGAAAATGATAGGCAAGTATTGGATAATAACATTTGGAAGAAAATATTTAGTGTAGATGATGCTTCTTAAAGTTTGTTCCTCTTAATTAGTACTGAAAGATTCATATTCCTGAAAAACAAATGGGCATTGGTTAAATCAGTTATGAGTTAAATCAGTGACCTGTAAGTCACTCCTTGAGACTGTCAAATGTTTCAACGTGAAACAGGGTTATCACTTGGGAATATTCCCTCTGCCTTTAGTGGTCTTTTCTTTCAATTTCTTTTTTTCATTTTTGTTGTGTATCCCTAATGCTCACTGGATTGTGACCATATGATAAAGACAAATGACAGAGAAAAAGGGAGAAGGAATGAGGGTGAGAGGGAGAGAGGGTGAGAGAGAAGAGACGAAGGAAATATCATTATATTCTCAGAATTATATCTACAAACCATATTGAATCTGTTGAAAACTAATTAAAAATTAAAATAAAAAAGTTTTTTATCTTTTTTAACAACATGCTAAATAGTTCTCAAGAAAAAGAGTGTTCTGATTCCTATTGAGACTTTAAGCAACTGGAATGAAAAGAAATAATGCCAAACCATTAATTGTGTTTAAAGTAAAAAAAAAAAAAAAGTCCATAAGTTAAAACCATTCATGTTTATTCTGCATTTTCTTATCCCTTAAGCACAGACTGTTTTCAGTCATTTTCATGATCTGATTTTCTATATATACTATGATTTTCTGGATGATAGACCTGTCATTGAAAAAACATAAGGATTTTACTTTTTTTTCCAGTCTTTGCTTCTTTCCTACCATGCTGCTCAGCATATTGCTAGCATGGAGAAAAGATCAAAATTCAAAACTTATAATACAGTTTCTACTGAATGCATAAGGCTTTTGTACTATCAAGAAGCTCAGAAATCCTAAGTGGAGCCACCCTAAGTTGGGGAGTGTGTGCAATTAGTTTTATCTTTGTAAAGATTGATTAACAATAAACTTCTGTTTCCTTTCAGGAACTCTGCAGGGAAACCCCATGGAAAGAGTTTCTTCGCTCCTGTTAGGAGACATTGAAGATAAAGGAAATGACCTTCTTCCTTCTGACATTCTTGATATAATTCTTGGAGTTCATGGTAAAGGAGGAAGGCACCCAGAGAAAATCAGAACAGTAGCCCTCATTTGCTAGACTTGAGGTCTGTCTTATCTCTAAACATTTTTAAAGTGAAATATCAAATACCTTATTTTTTAAGCCAATTTAATTGAAGTTTGACATTTCTTTGTTTAGATTAAAATGCAATATGAAGAATATAACTATTCTAACTATAGAAGTAGAATTTTTTATATACATGTGCAGTAGAATGCGTCTTTGATATGTTACATTTAGTTCTATTATTATAGATAATTTTAAAATTACACAAAAACAGTTTTCACAAGCACCACTTTATCTCAGTTCCTCTGCTTGATAGTCTCTTGTTTCCAATGCAGTTGGGTGCGTAAAGTCTAATAGCGAGGAGAAAGCAGCTTTCAGAGAAGATTAGCAACACTGCCAAATAATTTATTTCCGAAAATAGTGCACGAAGTCACTACTTCTTTCTTCTTTCTTTTAGCCCTTTTTTGAGGTAAACACTTTAAAGGTGTTCCTATTTCATAATCATAGCATTATGGATTTCGTTTGTGGAGCTTTTTGTGAAGATTTTCAATTTTACAGTGGCTTTTAAGTGATTGGCAATGAGTCGTGGAGAGCGCTACAACTCTGAGAACACACAGCACTGCACTTGGCAGAGAGAGATGCCATACTTCAAAAAAGTTTTCCTGTATTAAAATGCAAATTAACATATTTTCCTGACTTCAAATTAATTTAGCAAGTTATTGAATATTCAAAGAATAGATGCAAAGTAGAACATAGTTTGCTTTATAAAAAGAATGAGCTTACATTATGATTTTCTATATGTCACTTAATTTGTTTTATATTTGTAGAACACAGTTGTTGATAGTTTGTATTACTGTTTTATGTACACACTCACACACATTCCCTGCAGAATAGTGAAGCATGAATAATGTAGTTATCCTTGACGTTCCTGGTTCACCACTCAGAGGCTTGTGTTTTCCTTGTGAAAGACATTTTCCTGCTTATTTGGAATGGGCTGCAAGGACAATAATGCTGGATATAGGCAACTTCAAGGTAATTAGCACCAGTCATCAACAGGCTAGGAAGTTGCCAAAAGAAAGGGTTGTTCCATTCACTGAGAAAATCCACAGATGATGTCTGTTGGCAGATTGCCCATAATCATGAAATTTCCAAGTCAAGTTAAGGGTATGGGAGCTATAATGTTACACTGAGTCCCTCAATCAGAAGGGCTTGTGTTGGCTTTATTCGTCTTTTGTTGTCATCTTGAATTTTGTTTTGTACTGAGCCCCCAAATTTTTGTAGCTAGTCCTGCCTGGTTTTGCTATGCTTAAGTCTTAAAATGTAAATAATTAGACAATGAAATCAAAGGTTGAGATGAGACTGAAGGGGATCATTAGACACTGACCGTTAAATAAGATGGGAATGAAGTCATGTTTGCATTACAATCAATAATATGAACTTTCAAGATACCACATATTCTAGGTACTTGGATATTATTCTGATAAGGAGGAGTGACATGTTAATGAAAGGTATCTTTTTTATCTTGTTACATATTTTTAAAGTTATAAGCTTATTTAAATTTTTAAACAGATACTTTATTCTTGTGAAATAAGGACTTTTGCAATTAACAAAAACAGAAGCAAACAAACAGCAAAAACTTTGAAAAGATAAATAGGGTAAGAAAGTCTCTTTCTGTCCCACTGTTCTGCCTTTCAAATTTATATATTTTCAAAATACTGTTATATTTGTTTCCTGGAGTTCCTATTACAAAATCCCATAGACTGAGTGGCTTCTCAGAGTTTTGTAGGCTGGGAGTCTTTGATCAAGGTGTCAGCCAGTTTTGCTGAGGCCTCCCTCCTGGGCTTACAGCTGTTCACCTTCACAGTGCATCCTCGAAAACTCTTTCCACTGTACTTTAGGAGGCCTGGTGTTTTGTTCTCTGGGTCTAAGTTTCCTCTTATTATATTAACAGTCAGATTGGATTACAATCCACAATAATGGCCTTGTAATTGTAACTTGATCACATCTTTAAAAGCACTATCTCAAAAGCGGGATACACAGCAGACTTTTAGAATGGCAGAAGTCCTAAAGAGCACTCTAGCCTCAGAATCAGCCCTTACGGCATTTGGATCCAGCTAAAAAGCCCATGAGAGTATTTCAGGCATGGAAAGCCAAAACATTCTGGCAAAAAAAAAAAAAAAAAAAACCACCACAAAACACAAAACCCTAAATGAAAGTGTGAGTGAGATCCCAGCGGAAAGAACAGGCTGTCAAAGAAGGAGGTACCTTTCTCTGAAGGGAGGAGAGAACTTCCAATTTGACTATGACCCTGTCTAAATAAGATCGGAGTTGGCGAACTCAAAAGGCTTCCATAGCCTTAGCAGCTCATGACAAGAGCCTCACGTGATTACTGATGCCATAAACAAGAGTGTCATTTTGTTAAGTCAACAAAAGGAGTCACTCTGCACTTACTCCCCATGTAGGATCTCTGTCCTTAATGTATTGTACTATGTGAGTTAACAGTATAACTAGTACTCAAACAGTACTTTATACTTTGTGCTTCTGTTCTGTGTGGGTGCAAACTGTTGAAACCTTTACTTAGTATATACTAAATTGATCTTCTGTATAGAAAGATAATTGAAAATGAATCTTGATAAAGAATGGGATGGGCCGGTGCACGGCTCACTAGGCTAATCCTCCGCCTTGCAGCGCCGGCACACCAGGTTCTAGTCCCGGTCGGGGTGCCAGATTCTGTCCCAGTTGCCCCTCTTCCAGGCCAGCTCTCTGCTGTGGCCAGGGAGTGCAGTGGAGGATGGCCCAAGTCCTTGGGCCCTGCACTCCATGGGAGACCAGGATAAGTACCTGGCTCTTGCCACTGGATCAGCACGGTGTGCCAGCAGCAGCGTGCAGGCCGAGGAGGCCATTGGAGGGTGAACCAACGGCAAAGGAAGACCTTCCTCTCTGTCTCTCTCTCTCACTGTCCACTCTGCCTGTCAAAAAAAAAAAAAAAAAAAATGGGATGGTTGTGGGTGGGAGGGAGGTTATGGAGGAAAAAGCCGCTATAATCCAAAAGTTGTACTTTGCAAACTTATATTTATTAAATAAAAGTTTACCAAAAAAACCTCATCTCCAAACACAATCAACTTTCTGAAGTCTGGAGATTAGAACTTTCCTCCATGAATATTGGAGGAACACAATTCAACCTGCATGGACTTATATGTGGCAAATATTTTTCAATGTGCTAAAATTGGAAATAGAAGAATAGTAGAAGTACATCTATGAAATATTAATGAACTACCAAGTTATATATTCTCTGTATGGTAGGCACATACAATGGAAGGCCTATTTATTTTCCAAAGAATCTAAACAATCCAGCTGTTGAAGTTAGAAAAATATGAATACACTGGATTGGAAAAGCTGATATCAGAAAAAAAGAACAAATCAATGATGTCAATTAACTATCAATTCAAAACGAGGAAGTGCTGCTCAGCCTTGTAAAATGGACACACACTGTTTTTGTTTGGTTTTGTTTTGGACAGGCAGAGTGGACAGTGAGAGACAGAGAGAAAGACAGAGAGAAAGGTCTTCCTTTTGCCATTGGTTCACCCTCCAATGCCTGCCGCGGCTGGCGCGCTGTGGCCGGCACATCCTGCTGATCTGAAGCCAGGTGCTTCTCCTGGTCTCCCATGCGGGTGCAGGGCCCAAGCACTTGGGCCATCCTCCACTGCACTCCCGGGCCATAGCAGAGAGCTGGCCTGGAGGAGGGGCAACCGGGACAGAATCCGGTGCCCCAACCAGGACTAGAACACCAGCGCCGCAGGTGGAGGATTAGCCTAGTGAGTCATAGCACTGGGCGACGCATACTGTTTAACATCTACGAGCCTTGTTTTCCTTTCCTGCATAAAGCAATTTAGAAGAACTGTGGCAGAGACCCCACTCCTTTCAAATGCCCATCTCCTATCTTTCTTTAGTGATAATAACTTCGATTTTCAAGTAGAAAAATTTCTGCTCAATTGCCAATCTATTTTCTCTAGGTCCTCCTGCAGCCTGTGTTCAATCCATGCTAAAGATTAGGTTCTCCTAAGCAAATCAAGCTGCTGGATTCATGCAGTCACCTGATGAGTCCTCCCAGGGGGGACTACACTTGTCACCTCTGCTTTCCCCCAAAACTCTAAGGTAGATATGATGGCTTGAACTCCAGCACTCATCTTGTATCGTGGAATAAAACTGCATCTTAAGGACATACATTATGGAATGCTACTCAGCTATAAAAAAGAACTAAATCCTGTCTCTTGCAACAAAATGGATGCAACTGGAAACCATTATACTTGGTGAAATAAGTCATTCACAAAAAGACAAATATCATATGTTTTCCCTTGTCTGTGGTAACAGTTAGAGTACCTAAAATGTAATGTATATGAGCAAAATTGACATTTTGAAATTTGATTATTTATAGCCCTTATCTTTACTGTAGATAATTCTTTACTGTTTGTTCAATTCTTTACTTAGAAAGGGTTAAGCTTATGATCAGAAAATAAACTGGAAGTATGCCATTGTAAAAAATTAAAAAAATAGGAAAGGAAGGAGGAGGAAGGGTGGGAGTGCAGGAGGGAGTGACAGTAGAGTGGGAAGTATCACTGTGCTCCTTCCTAAATCTGTGTGTATGAAGCACATACAATTTGTTCACAGTATATAAACAAACAACTGAAAAATAAAGAAAGTAGCTTGGATCCCACAGAATTTGTGAAGTCAAACCAGAATTCTATAATATACCAGATTTGCCTTCACTGCTGTGTACCTCTTCTGTGGAAGAAGATATATAAACTTTTATCTGTATTAAAATGATGCTATTTTGCATATTATGACACTTCAAGAGTATTGAAACCATCTTTGCATTTACAGTATTGTTATAGAGGTACAATTTTTTTTAAATGGCTGCTACCCCATGAAATTTTTGTTCAGTTTCCTTATAAGCTAGGAAGGACATCAAATATTAGATCATTTTAAAGTGAAATACCACTATAGTAACAAAGAAAGAAAGATAGAGCTTTTTTATAAGTACCAGAAATACATCCAAGAATCGAAAATAGGAAGGAAGCAAAGGGATCTACAGACCAACTCAAAGTTTCAGACAGAGATATACGAGAATACAAAATAACATGATTGCAAACATATTTTTCAGAGAATGTGATATTTAGATCAGAAAATTAAGTAGAATAAAATAGGGGAATAAAGAGTTAAGCAACTAACAATTAAATGCAAAGAGTACATGGACAAAGGAACGAACAGTTTCAGATGGCACCAATAAGCACTTCAGTTCCTCAAACAACAAGGATGAGAACAGAGGCATAGAGAGAGGGCCAATTCTGTGCAGTGTTGTGACACAGTGGTTAAGCCACTGCCTGCACCACGAGCACCCTATGTGGGTACTCCTTTGAGTCCAGGCTGCTCTGCTTCTCATCCAGCTCTCTGATAATAAGCCTGGGATAGCAGTGGAATATGGGAAGATGGCCCAAGTGCTAGGGTCCCTACCACCCACTTGGGAGACTTGAATGAGTTCCTGGCTCCTGGCTTTGGCCTCTCCCAGTTCTGGCCATTGGGACCATTTGGGAAGTGAGCAGATGGAAGATTCTCTCGCACTTGCTCTCACACTCGCACTCTCGCTCTTGCTCTCACTCTCTGTTTGTAAATATGCCTTTCGAATAAATAAATACTTTTAAAAAAGAGTGGGAACATCTATTTGAAATTCAAATTCAATGTGAGTTTAAATAAGCTGGGAGAATTTTTATATTTAATTAATGGAAGTATTTCTTAAAACTCAAGTAAATGGGCATTTGAAATGTTTGTAGGAGTTATCGACATGGTTTGCTATCAGAACAAAGGTTTGTTTTCAGTGATTTGATATTCTGGGCTGCCTAGTATTCATCTTTATTACTCCGTAGTTTATTTAATATATGGCAAAAACAGCCGGCGCCGTGGCTCAATAGGCTAATCCTCCACCTTGCGGCGCCGGCACACCGGGTTCTAGTCCCGGTTGGGGCGCCGGATTCTGTCCCGGTTGCCCCTCTTCCAGGCCAGCTCTCTGCTATGGCCAGGGAGTGCAGTGGAGGATGGCCCAGGTGCTTGGGCCCTGCACCCCATGGGAGACCAGGAAAAGCACCTGGCTCCTGGCTCCTGCCAGGATCAGCGCGGTGCGCCGGCTGCAGCGGCGGCCATTGGAGGGTGAACCAACGGCAAAGGAAGACCTTTCTCTCTCTGTCTCTCTCTCTCACTGTCCACTCTGCCTGTCAAAAAAAAAAAATATATATATATGGCAAAAATAAATTTTATATTTGATTAGAAACTGAAGGTGAAATTTTATTTTGCATCAATATATTGAGATGCTTGTGCAATTTATTGCTAATATACAACCTTTAGATTACCTTTGAGAATAAAGAGAATAAAGCATTCAAAAATGACCTCACAAAATTAATGTCAGTCAGTGAAATCGCTTTGTAAACTGTAAAGCTTTAAAGCAACTTAAAATGTCTCTGTAACTGTCTCTCTAAAATACAGCATTCTTATTGTAATCATTTTAGTAGTTCAGTTAGTCTGATGTTTGTGATTGTCAAATGGTTACATGCCTATTACAGTGGCAAAAGGTATTATGAGATGTTATGCAAATGTTACCAGTATATTGAGGTACCTGTTAGGATTATTCTTTTATACTTAATATCTATGAATTACTCTATATTTTATATATTTTCCTTTTATGTAACATATTCACCAAGGCTAAAGAGAGAGATCCGTTAATAATTCAATAGTAATGATTTGAAGTTTTGTAGTAAAATATAAATACTATTACAATGATACCACATGCTTTTGTTAAAAGGGAAGATTTTATCAATCAAGGGTAGTAAAACAGCTTTCACATTAGTCCTAAAGGGCATCTGCTGACTAATTCTGTGTGTGTGTTTATGGTAAGCAGAGTGACTCTTCAAGGAATTATCTACAAAGCAAGTAGGAAATTTTCTTTGTGTCTGTTCTTCATAGAAAAAAGAGACATCCCACCAAGAGAGTTCTGCTATGAAGAACCACACAGTATAATGAAAAGGGAAAAATAAAGAAATACATAGTAGCATTAGTAAACATCATTAAAATAAGTTCCCAAATTATTGAATGACACACACAAAAAGATGAATTACATTTCAACAAAAATTAAGAAGTAGTAGATCTCCAAACACAAACACATGCTCACATACACATATACAGAAATAAAAGTACAAATTTCAGATATGGAAAAAACTGTTTGAAGATTGTATATCAGATAAAGGTCTGTAAAGAGAACATGAAAAAGAAAAACTCTTTCAACTCAACAATTAAACTTGTGATGCAGTGTGTTGAGCTGGCATTCCAAAGCGTAGTGCTGATCTTAATCCTGCTATGCCGCTTCTGATCCAGCTCCCTGTTAACTGTACTTGGAAATGCAGTGGAAGATATCCCAAGTACATGGGTCCCTTCCACTCAAATAGGGGACCAACATGGAGTTCTGGCTCCTAGTTTCAGCCTGGCCAGTGTACGCCCAGGATTTAGGTCTTAAGACAAGCAAATCCAGATCCCAACCAGTCAGAGAAAAACAGACCCATTTATGGGTTTTCATCTGCATTACTCACGGTGACACTGAGAAGTGCACAAGGAACAGCTACTTGCCCGCAGTGGCAGTGAGGCCACAGTAGATATCCACCCTTGTGTCATGGCAGCAGCCTGACATGCAAACAGACACCTACACATAGGCAACCGTTTATGTGTCCACATCCTCCTACTGGCAGCTGCGCCTAGTCATGCCCCCTAGTTTCTTATCTGCGTTTACAGACATACGTGGCCCTGAGCCAAACCCTTAAGTAACACAGTGAATACCCAGTCAAGCAGGTGGACCTGTCGGTTACATTGACACTGGTTATCCTGGAGGCACAGATAAGTGGGCATGGGTAAAAAGCACGGGAACTTGATGAATATCATATTCTGAACTTCATTTCCTTGACACCAAGTTGTGGCTGTTGCAATCATTTTGTAAGTGAACAAGCAATCTGTCTCTTTCTACCTTCCGATTCCCTCTCCTCCTTCCACTCCCCTACCCTACCCTCCTCTTCGCTCCTCTCATCTCCCCTCTCCCTCATCCCTATATCTTTGTCTCTCTGGGTAATTCTTTTTAAAAATGTGCAAAGTATATGAATAAATATTAATCAGAAGGAGAAACACAAATGACCAACACGGAAATGAAATGATGCTTCTCATCAGTAGTTTCAGGGAAATGCAAGTTAAAATCAAATGAGAATTTTATATCTGGCGGCCTGACATACAGGGGCAAATAATGTTATGAGCCTATGAGAAATTGGAACTCACAATCTATTCTGAACAGATTAAAAAGTGGATAGGCATGAGTAAAAATAAAAACAAAAAGATAATCTGTTGCAGTTAAAGTCTAAAATAAATGTTGTCTTAAATGGTTCTTAATGAGAATAAACAGCAGTTCGTTTGAAATGCAGAAAAAATAATATTTTGAGTAAATCATTATACATATCTTTGCCAGATCACATCATATCCATATGATATATTTGTCAAATATGTTATGTGTTATATAATCAATGATATGACAAAAGTTAACCTCCTGTGAACATAACCATGTCTCCTCTAATGGAGTAGAGATCAAAAAGGCAGAGCCAGCACAAACTAATCTTCCTTTTACATGAATAAATGAAAGGAATTAGGGCAATTGGTAATAAATGGAACAAACTGGAGCCAGCCTTGTTGTATAATGGATAAAAACCACTGTCTGCAATGCCAGTATCCCATATGGGTGCATGTTCGAGTCCCAGCTGCTCCACTTCTGATTCAGGTCCCTGCTAATGCACCTGGAAATCAGCAAAAGGTGACCAAAGTGTTTAAGCCCCTAAACTTACATGGGAAAACCAGAAGAAGCTCCTGGATCCTGGTTTCTACAATGGCCCAGTACCAGCCATTGCAGCCATTTTTGGAGTGAACCAGGAAATGGAAGATCTCTCTCTCTCTCTCTCTCTCTCATTCTCTCTCTCTCTTTCTATAACTATGTTTTTCACATAAACAAAATAAACATATTTTTTAAAAAGGGCAGAACAAGCACACATTAGTACTTCTTTTACAAGAATTATATGAAAGGAGTTAGGGAAGTTGGTAATAAATGGAACAAACCAGGACCAGTCTAATGGGATAGTGAATAAAACCCCTGCCTACAATAAGAGCATCCTATATGGGTTCTTGTCCCAGCTACTCCACTTCCAATCCAGGTCCTTGATAATGTCCCTGGGAAAAGCAGTGAAAGATGGCCCAAGTATTTGGGCCCCAGCAACCAAGTTGGAGACCCTGATGAAGCTCTTGGCTCCTGGCTTCACCCTAGAACAGTCCTGGCCATTGTGGCCATCTGCAGAGTGAAGCAGTGGATGGAAGATCTCTTTCTCTGTCTGTCTATCCCTAATTCTCTGTAACTCTGACTTTCAAAACAAATAAATAATTTTAAAAAATCGTACTGTTCATGACAGAGGTTTGCTTGTTTGATGAGTTTCCATAAAGCAGTGTAGGTAAACTTAAGCAACTGGCAGCAAAGAAAATAGAAGTTCTGTGTTTAGTAAACAAATTTTTAAGAACTGAAGCTGCCAATAGTCAGTTTTGAATAAAAGGTAATTTGTAAGAAAGGGTTATCTGCCTACAATTGTCCCTTTCGTGGACAGACTGTAATTTTAGTAGATTCTCAGTTTTAAAAACCATTCAGTCTACCTAATTTTTGATAATATGTCAATTGCTCAGAGCACAGCTGAAAATGGAATAATAACTAATGATTCATCTTGACAGATAGAAATGCTAAACAATAATTTACAATGGCACTTGTTTATGACAAATTCTTTCCAGAATTATTGTTTCTGCAGTTGCTTTGATTGAGTGCCATGTTTTATGAAAAAAAATGATATTGCTTAGAAACATTATATATCTATGTTCTGAATCTTGATGTCATCGAGTAATTCTCCACAAGACTTAAAGTAACCGGAATTTGCAGTACTTATAATGCTGGCTTATATAACACATTCAAAAACTGTCCTTAAAGAAATGCCAAAAAATTTTTCTAGGTTTCTTTTCTTTCTTTCTTTCTTTTTTCTTTTCTTTTTTTTTTTTTTTTACAGGCAGAGTGGACAGTTAGAGAGAGAGAGAGAGAGAGAGAGAGAGAGAAAGGTCTTCCTTTACCGTTGATTCACCCTCCAATGGCCGCTGCGGCCTGCGCACTGAAGCTGGCGCACCGCGCTGATCCAAAGCCAGGAGCCAGGTGCTTATCCTGGTATCCCATGCGGGTGCAGGGCCCAAGCACTTGGGCCATCCTCCACTGCACTCCCGGGCCATAGCAGAGAACTGGCCTGGAAGAGGGGCAACCGGGACAGAATCCGGCGCCCTAAACGGGACTAGAACCTGGTGTGCCGGCGCCGCATGGCGGAGGATTAGCCTAGTGAGCCGCGGCACCAGCCTATTCTAGGTTTCTTAATAAATCAGAGTTACTAAGAAAAATGAAGCATTTTATAGTGAAATAACTATTCCACACAATTAAATTGAGGAACTTTATACATCAGTATTACATAGTATTAAAAATCTCTCTCCCATTTTCTTTGTAATTCTTTTAAATCAATAAATAAATCTTTAAAAAAAAAGAGATTTATTTCTTCATGCATCCTAGTTGTCAAAGGAAATAAACAGTGGGATACACACATAGGGTTAATCATATAACATTTTGTATTAATTAGACACTTTTCATTTTAACTGACAGAACAATTTCTTGAACAAAGCAACATAAATGAAGAACTGAATAGCTCAACAAAACTCAACCATAAAGAGGCAGAAATATATGTGGAGTCATTTTCAATCAGTTGAGGCATTTGAAAAGTTGTCAACTTTCTCTTTCATTTTTTTATTTGTGATACTCTGTGTATCTTTTCACTTGTATATCTTAGTAAAGATAGTCCAGTCTTATTGTGTGTTTGTCTCTGGTAGTTAGTAGCCCTGGATTGTAATCAGGTGAACTCAATGACCCAAAGGAAACAAGACTCTTAAAACTTTGAATGTGAAAAAAATGAATTTCATCACTTACCACAAAACCATGGTAATGAATAGAATGTGGCAGCAGCAGAAGGTCAGGCATACAGATATGAATCAGTGTTTAGAACGGATAGCCAAAAATAAGCACTTGTATTTATAGTTACCTGTACTTCAACACAGAAATTCAATGGGAATTGTACAAATTGAAACAACTTGTTATCCACGTGCAAAATAACTAAATAAAGTTGGAGCTGCATCTCATACCGTTAAGAAACAAACAAAACAAATAATGAATAACAGACCCAAATGTAAACACTAAAACTGTAAAAGTCTTACAGGAAAACATAAAAGTCAGTTTTTATAGTCTTGGGTTAGGCAATGATTTCTTAGCTAAGACACCAACAGCAGAATTGATAATAGAAAATATTAAAAGGTAGACTACATCAAAGTGAAATACAATTGGCCTTGAAGAAAACACATCCTAGAAAGTGAAAGGTTGACACACTGAGAAAGCATTTGCAAAATATATGTAAGAACAGATGTATATGCAAAATAATCTCTTAGGAATGCAATTATAAAATGGTATTTTATTGAAAGTAGACAAAGATCTGAGGAGATTTTTTTAAAAAAATACACACATTGAAAATGAATACATGAAAAAGATGCTCAATATTATTAGTCATTAAGGAAATACAAACACAATAGGATGTGACTTCACACCAATTATGACAGTTACAATGAAAAAGACAAATAATGACAAGTGTTAGCAAGGGCGTGGAGCAATTTTCACTTTCATGCATTTTTGGGGATGATATAAAATGATACAGCCACTTTGAAAAATAGTTTGTCAATTTCCAAATTGTTAAATGCTTACTTATCACAGATCCCACAATCTCATCTCTACTTATATGTGTAAGCGCAAGAGAAAGAAAAAACATTTTTTCCACACCAACATTTAATATGAATGTTCATAGCCACATAATTCTCATACTATTGTTGGGTGGCTGCGTTCATGTCCTTGTCTTTGCTGCAAGAAGGAATTCAAGGATAAGACTTGGGTAAATGTTCACAGAGAAGCAAGATTTATTTCTTTACAAAGCAGAAGTACATACTCAGGGAGCGTGGGTAACCTCAAGAGATAGCTGAACTCACAAGTTTGGGGTCATCCCCATTACATGATCTGGAGGCATAGAGGATGGTGTCTTGGGAGGGGCTTAAGTGAATTTTCAAAATGCTGCCCATTTCCTTGAACATTTTTGGAAATCTCAGAAGTGTCATGACATCAGGTGTGTGATGGGAGTGGTAATGGCAATCATAATAGTCATATTAAAATAACGCTTCATAAGCTAAAGGACATTGAAGGGATAGAACTGGCGGCCATGTTGGATATGTTTAGCCAGTGCCAGTTCTAAGCAGAGAAATCATAGAAGGTGCAGTCCTACTACTGCATGGAAAGGGGAAATGGTGCACAGAACCTAGATGGGGACAGGCTTAAGGAATACCTTTCCAGCTACTTTCCTGAATACATCAGTACAATCATATATAACAACAAAAAGGAATGAACTATTGATCTGTATTAAAACATAGTTAAATCTTAAAAATGGCAAATGAGACACAGAAGAATACATAACATATTAACCCATTTTTATAAAATGCAAAAATT